AAAACCCAACTCCCAAACACACCCTAAGGGTCTGTTTGTAATAGTTTAAAAACCGCTTCTTGATTTTTGATTTAAAACGCTAAAATTAGTGTTTTCAAACAACAATTTCTACTTAAAAAAACGCTTCTCGGCTTTTGGGTGAAAAGTGTGTTTTACTTTTTCTATTACACAAAAAGCATTCATTTTATCCAACACTATCAACTTTTACTTTTCAAAATCACTTTTTTCTCATCAACTTTTACTATTTATTAATCACTTCGTTCAAAATCAATTGAAAAAATGTTATTTTTTAAAAAAAATCATTTGCAAACACTCCCACCCAAAGTTGGCTTAAATTGATAAAAATCTAGCTGAAGTGCTCGAGGAGGATCTACGTTAGGGTTTGGTGATGAGCTGAAGTCCAAGGGCAATTTTTTTTCAATTTTCTTAGTGTAAGTTTTTCGTTTTTTTATGTTTATCCTACCTAGATTCATAAATAGCAGCTAGAGTCTAATAAATTTTTAAAAATTATTTAAAATATGTTTTATTAATTAAATAAATTAAAAAAAGTATATGAAAAATATAAAAAATGATCATCTACAATATTTTAACAAATTCAGTTAGAAACGTAATCTTATCTTACTTATTTTGATTATTAAAATTGTTTGATAAGATAGAAATAAAGTTATCAAATGAGTTCTTGATTTAATTTGATATTTTGAGGTTAAGAAGTTGAAAGAAAATAAATAAGTTGAAAGCTAAAATAAACAATATTATTTCAAAATACAAATATTGGGGAGTACTAATCCCGTATATTTTAAAAAATACGTAGTAGTTTACTATTGGTATGACCTTAAAATAGTAGTATATGATAGTGATGAATGTTTTGAAAGACGGTAAGATTCATAAAATTGTTTCAAAAACCAACCCATTTTGCCTTAATAATAAAACACACTGTATGATCCAATATAATGTGAGATATGACAATACTGAAAATCTCATTTTTAAGAGATATCAGTATGTGACTATCACAAAAATACAATGCATATTCACTATTACGACTTATTTAACAAAAATAAAAATTTACCCTCACAAAAAAATGAAAAAATAGGAAATTTGTGCCAATAGAAAAGGTAAAACTCTGATATTTCAACATATTTGTACTCTGTCAGGGACGGCCCAGGGCATGTCTGCCTAGTGCAACCGCACAGGGCCCGAATTTTTGAAGGGTCCAAAAAAATAAAAATTTAGTATTAGACCTAACCCATTACTCCCATTAGCGTTTAGCCCAACATCGCCTGTGTTAACTCCCGACTCCCCACTTCCCCAGTCCTTAAGCCTCCTGCGTTAACTCCCTTCAGCCTTCTCCGATTCTCTCGACTCCCCACAACCACTCCTCTGCAGGCTCCACTGCTCCGCACGCCGTCGGCAGTCCTCCAGGCACAAAACCACCAGCGTCCAGCCGTCCAGCGTCCAGGCAGCCAGGCACCAATAGTCCACTGCAATCCACACTTTGCACACCGCCAGGCGGCCAGTTCGCCACAGCGCAGCTGCCCACCGGCCACTAGTCCACCACGCTCCCGCATCCCCGAGTTCGGTCAGTCCATTGATTTTCATTTTTTTATTCATTTAGTTGCTAATTCTTGTGAATTTTTGAATTATTGAATTGATGAATTTTTTGTTGAATTGTTGAATTGTTGTAATTGTTTATTTTCTGAATTCATGTTTGTTGAATTGTTGCATTGTGGTTATTTGTTGATTTTTTGCACTTAAAATAAACTATTATTTGAACTTATAATAAATGTGTAAATGTGTTTAGCAATTAAAATTTAAGAACGTGGTATAAATATATTATTAGGTAACTCAAGGTCGATAAATTATAATTATACACTAGTATAGTCATTCATGTTTTCACCCTGATTTTAAACTGAAAAGTTTAAGACAATTTGCTTGTGAAACTTAAAAAAAGGCCCAAATTTTATTGTTGCACAGGGCCTCCGTTTTCTCGGGACCGGCCGCTGGTACTCTCTAAATATCTAATATGATAGATCCAAATGAGTAAATTGTATATGATGGATAGTGTATCCAGGGGGTAGCTTATCCGAGGGGTTATTACGAGGAATAACTAGAGAGAAGTCAGAGCAAGTAAGTATAGAGAGAAAAAGTGTATTAGAAAGTGTTCAGTGTTTTCAGCGTGGTTACAAATGGGGAAATGGGGTGCTATTTATAGTAGCAATAAATGCCAGACAGGGACACGTGTCAAGCGTTTATTGGCCGAGAGGTCACCTCAACTGGTTGGCGCTGGCAACCGCATGTGGCCGCATTTAATGCGGTTGTTGGATGGGACGTTGTACAGGGTACGGTGATCCATACGCATGTGGAACAGATATTATGTCGGAAAAGGTGCCCTCGGCTGTAGATGACTAGCCGAGGGCTCTGAGTACCGGGGACCCCCTTAGTGCCGAGGGCTCCAGTTGCCGAGGGCTACTGATTTTCGCCGTTTTTCCCAGTAACCTTGTTTTCTTGTCTTGGCCCTCCTGTGAGAATTAGAGCCTTCGGCCAGGGGGCCGAAGGCACCCCTGGTGCATATTGTGGGCTGCTTGGTACTCTGGGCGCTGTGATTTGGGCCTGTTGTGCTTTCTGGGCCTGTTAGGCCTTTATTGGAGTAGTAGGAGTCTGTGGACCGGGGGTTCCTGGGCCATATACTCCATCAGTATACTTGCTCATACATGTGTTAGAAGTTTGAAAAAAGTCACAGATGTACATAGACTATATATAAGATTTATCAAATGTTCAAATACTTCAATAACTCTCAAATAAGCAACTGATACACATGCACAAATTTGCTAGACATGGACAATGAACCCATCATCGTTCGATTAGGTCGGGCTACCGGCAGAACAAAGGTCGTACATACCTAATTGATTAGACTAGATCAATGGAGTCTCATATATCCCTGAACAAGCGGTGTATCCTCAAAGACCAAGAACAAAAAAAAGGAAACCCAAAAAGTATACATATGAAGTTTTCAGAGAGCATCCAATTATCCGATGACCCTCTGTTGTGCGCTAAGGGAGGCTTAGAACATCAGACGACTGATTATTCTATGTTGTGGGCGAAGGGTGATGAGAGCGTCGGATTAACCGATGTCTCTCACGGGGTAAATGGACTAGGGCTTACGCATTAATGGGGCGGTGGACGGCTGTGATGGATAGGTATGTTACATTTGGACCGCTAGGGTTGGATATGTTAGTCATTATTACTCATTAGTGTGTTAAACTTCAATAAATTGGACGGTTGGTTGTGTGAATCTGGGATGCTATATAAAAATGATGTCATTACTTAAAATGGGTTGAGTTTATCCGAATTTTGATGGCCTTAATTGATTAATCTCAAAATCTGAATCGATATTAATGTTGTTAAAATAAATCAAAATATCACTGTGTAATGTTGGTTTTAGACTTTTGGTACATTGGAATTTTAACTAATCCAGGTTTGAGTACAGTCAAATAAAAGCTGGAATTAGGCATGGACTCGATTCCGGTTTCAGAATCAAGACCTGATCGGCACCGCCCGATTATGAACCAGGACCAGAAAATAAGAACTTGTTCTAGGAACGAAAATGGACCGATGGGAAAGTGGTCCTGGTCATGGGCCTCAATTTTTTTAGACCAGGACCGGTCGGTACCGTGACCGTGCCGGCTTCAATTAATATTTTTTTGGTTTTATTGCCATTAAATGATTAAAAACATTTCACTGGGGTTGAAGGTCCATTTAAAAGTTAAAGAGGTGTAGATGAGGGTGAAGAGGATTTAAAAGTGTATTAGAAAAAAAGCCAGGACCGAGTTGGATCAGAATCGAGACTAGACCGAGACCAATTTGGAATTGGAAATAGAGGTCCCGGTGCTGGTCCTCCAAAATAATTTCTCAAAGAATGGCCGATATGAGACCAGAACCAATACGGATCCGAACCGGATCCATGCCCACCTTGCATTAGTGAATTCTTGCAAATTAGATTCAAATTTTGATCTTTAGCTAATTTACATTTTACCTGTGTCTACAATATTGTAAATGTTAACTTCTTCTCTTCTTAACTATATAATTCTTATTCTCTTTTCAATCAATCATTTATACATAATTTTTATTAATCTGATGATTTACAAATGTAAAAATCCTATTTATAAAAGAAAGATGTAATTGATAGTCTTGCACATTTTGGCCGCCGTTGATGATTTCAGACTTGTCATTAAAACTAGGGACAGCTCGAGCTAGTGAATGCATTCCCCTCTTGAATTGAAATTATTACCCTATTAATATACACGAAAAGTGCCCCAATTATCAGGATTTAGTCTTATAAACATGTTAACTTCCATCAACCATTTCCATAAAATTAGAATTAAACTGTCAAATATTACTCCAACACACGCACTTAGAAAGAAATGTCACGTGCATGATCAAACGTTAAAAGTTAATTTCATTTTAAGTTTAGTCATACATAGGAAAATATATTTGTCATTACTTACTAGTATTATATCTTTGTATAAAATTATCATACATGGAGTATAAATATATGCATTTAAAAACACATGCTCCCATTGTTAAAAGTATCACGCCTGAAAAATTTGAATCAATAAAGTGTTATATTAAGATCTGAGCTACTCCTCCTATCAGGTTAACATTTTAGGATGAAACATCAGATCTTAACATTGTATCAGAGCCAAATCGATCCATTATGTGGGTTCCCTTATGAAAAATGACGACACGATTATAAAAAATTTGACAATGACAAACAAACGAAAAAATGAATGACGACATGATCCAGACGAGGGGAGGGTAAGCCTAAGTCCTGGTCCCCCCAAATTAAAAAAAATATCTTACTGTAAAAAAATTCGTTTAATTGTTTTTCCAAAAATATTCTTTAATTTGTACCGACCCGATTCGTTTCGATGCCCTAGCTCCGCCCCTGAAGGTGAGTATTTAATTATTTACATATTGATTCACGTATTGTTGTGGGATCGCAGACGAGGGTGGTCTATCGTCAGAAGATGAGAACAGCAATGAGGAAACAGAGGAAAATGAGACCATAAGTAGCGAAGATCGGGAACTGAAGAGCAAGCTGCTAGAGAAGTATGGTGGGCATATAAGCAGCCTAAAACTGGAATTTTCAAAGAAGAGAAAGAAAGGGAAGCTTCCCAAAGATGCGAGACACATATTGCTTGAATGGTGGAAGGTTCACTACCGGTGGCCGTATCCTACGGTATTACTTCTTTTTCTCTCCGACCTAGGATATGCAAAATGTATGGAAAAACTTTTTGTAGGTCTTGTGTGTCTATAACTATGTGTATATATCTGGTATAACCTAGTTCATGACTCTTCTTGAGCTGGGTATCATTTAGGGTTTAGACTGTAGCTAAACCCTAAACCCTAATTCCTAAAATTGGGTTTAGTTTAGGAGCGTTGGCAGGGGTGTAGCTTACGGATGGACTCGGGCCCAGGCGGTACCGGTACTAGAAAATTGGAGCCCGATACTGGCCTGAGTATGCTCCAGGACCGGTTCCGGCACGGGCCCATTGGCCCAAAGAGTACTGGTCCTGGATTGGTATTACTCATTTAATTAAAAAAAATAAAACATTGAAGAGCAAAACAAAGTGAAAATCGAACAAAATTGAAGAGCAAAACCCCAGAAGTATAGTAAAACTTGATCGCCCGTACTTAAAATGGAAAAAATACAGAAGGATGTAATCAAATTGAATACCTAATCAAGTTAGTGTCATCTTGGTGTTGTTTTTAAATTTCAATCTCATATATATCTACTCCGTATTATTTAATATTTCGTAAATGAAGTCTTAATACGAACTTTGGAATTTGGAATGATTTTTTTGAAATAGATAATAGACGCTTAATATGGCCCTAGATTTTCTTTGCTAGTATCATAACTAGCTAGCTATAAAGCACGAAAATTCTCGAAAATAATTGGTTTCTGTTTCAAAAGTCTACTAAAACTCTTTAAAACTTTCCGAACTACTCCGTTTTATTTTTCTAGTAAAAAAGATGTTTATCGTTTTTCGCTTCCTCATCATTTTCACGTTTCCGTGCAATATAACGGGCTAGATTGAAGGGTCCCCATGATCGATGGGCTAGCAAAAAACAAATCTCTGATTAATGGCATGCAATATATATGTCGTCTTTACGTTATTTATTGCTTTAGTATTGTGTGTGTACTGAATAGTGAGTGAGGGTTAATTAATTAATTGTTCAGGAGGCAGATAAAGTGTCGTTGGCTGAGATGACGGGGCTAGATCAGAAGCAAATCAACAATTGGTTTATAAATCAAAGAAAGCGACACTGGACACCATCAGAACATATGCATCTTCTCCCTTAATTACAAGAAAATATTACCCGAAATAGGACTAAAAAGGTTTGAAAATTCCAAAATAGGATTATCATGCTTTTATTCACAAAATAGAACTAATTAGTACCATGTTTTGGCAGTATCAGACTTCAAACATGACAGTATTTTCTAAAATTGGCAGTAATTACTCCTATTTTGGGAATAAAAAACATGACAGTCCTATTTTGAAATTTTCAAACTGTTTTAATCCTATTTCGAGAACTTTCCTTAATTACAATAATAATAACGGCGACGTACGACTAATTCTGCATGTGGGGAATCTCTTATCTCCCCTAGATAGAGGCTCTCTTCATTTCCTGTACATTTTATTTTAGGGCAATGTAATTTTGCTCCCATATCTGAGCATACAATCAATCACCTCTTCAGTTGCTTTAATTCTCTACCCGGCCAAGTAAATTTCAATGGCAATTTTACTACCACTAAAGCTAGTGACAGGTTTTAACTTGTAAGGTGTATCACATTTGGTTCGCGGGTTTTAACTTTCAAACGATCTTTGACCATGGAAAAGCTAATTTCAATCCAAACACCCGATAGTTTGGATTGCCATGGAAATAGATAGTTTCTTATTCTTTTAATGTGTGCCCTACACCCAATATGTAACGGACTGACATGAAATTATGAAAATATGCTCTTAACAGCTAGTTTTGTGTCTCAATCCTCCTCTTGTGAGCAAATGTTTCGTTGCAATCTAAAGGTACTGTTCACATGGTTTACAACTTAATGTATCTTCCTTTTAATATGTACATTTGTGTACCAAAGCAAATAAAGGTAAGTTCTTTTTCTTTACTTTTATTCTGAAATTGATTTTGCCATGTTTTTCTTTCAAAAAATTAAACTCTTACCAAAGTGGCTCTTGGTGTAATACGGCTTAGGCTGGTTTTTATTTTAAATGAATATCCTATTGACCTATTCAATGGCAGAGTCAGAAATTTAGTATTATGACGACCCAAAGGTTGAAAATTAAAAATACACTACATGTTCAAATTTGAGCTTTTTAACAGATAATATGTATTTGTAAATATATAAGTATACAAAAAAATATTGGGGGTCGAAACCACCCCTTAGCTCTGCCATTGTACCTATTCCGCCATTGCACCTATTCTTGATTAACAAATGAACTTCAAGAGAGGTCATAGGTGTATACAATTTTGCTAAACGAAGTGTACATGATAAACTCTAGCTCTTCTTTCCCTAACCAATATGATGGTTTAACACTTCTTAACCGCGTATAAAGTCATGATACATAACTCTGGTTGTCTAGGTTCCGCCATGATCCCCTCCCATTCTTTAAGAGAGATGCGTACAACAACTCGTTCCATGTATCTGGCACTCCGGGCAGGCACCAATGGCTACAATCTTGAGCTTGCAAAGAACTTTGATTATTGGTTCTATAAATGGAAGGGTGGCCATCCTTCCTATAGTCTGTCAGCGTACTAATGTTCATGTATCCCACAGGTTTTTTCATATCATGAAGCACTTGCTCAAGAACTTGCATCTTGGAAGGGTACTTCTCCAAATGCATTTTGTTTAAAAATGGTTCTGTTTCGTTATGGCATTGCCCCCCTGAGTTCCATGGACCTCCTCTGCATATTGCAGAAGTTGTATTATTGAACGAACAACTGTATTCTTTATATTGATTAATAAACATAATATGTAAGGGCTTATATAAGACATGAGTCCAGATAATAGGAAAAAGAATCACAATAGGAATAGGAAATTGGTTATCAATATTCTTCATATATAATTTGGCGACGGTTGCCTACCATTGACAACACAAAGAAAAGGGTTCCCTGCCGACGACACCAAGTGATGCCACTGGGCGAAGGTGTGATAATATAACTACGATAGGTTCAAGTTTGCTGCTAAGCGTTGGACTCTTTATATCATAAAGAGTATAGAAGTTTTATAATAGAATGAATATTACTCCTAATACATATAACTAGGGATATGTTAGGGTTCTGTGATTGAGAACGCGTCCAGGGACGACTTGGAGTACAGGGTACCCGGTTGAGGTCGTAACCTGCCTGCTAGGGTTATTTCTCTTCTTGCCCGTGGCTGGAAGAGCGCAGGGGAGGGGGAAGTCCGTGACTTCTCTCTGAAAATATCTTAATGATCGTTGATGATTATTATTTCTCAAAAGAATTATAAATAGGCATTCGGCCTTTACATGATTAAGTCCTATTCTAACTAAAATTCTAAATAAAATATAAAGATAACATCAAACTGGACTCCTCTTCTAATTAACTAAACCCCTAAATTAAATATAAAGATAATATTAAACTGGATTCCTCTTCTAATTAACTAAAACCCTAAGTTAGATATAGTTAGGGTTTTAGTTGAACTGAATCAAATAAATTAGATATTAACAAGCAAGAGAAGAGGTGATACCGGAAATGTGTGAGCGAATATCCTCTGAAGAAAACTTGAGTTCTTCTTGCATCAATGTTCTTATCCACCCACCTTGCCCAAGTGTAAAGCGCTCTCTTATATGCTTCAAGAACCTTGAGTTGTGGGTGCACATGATTGCCTTCCTGGTAGTAGTCTTCACTGCATAACCCCCAAAAGCAAAAGTCTTCATTAATTGATGAGACTAATTTCAAAAAGTAACATGCATGGCTCCATGATCTAAAAAAGGGACTTCAAGAGGCCAGGTCAAGTATAAAACCCCGAGTACATAAGAGAGCAGGGATTTCAGGTTCTTTCGTTTTTTTGTTTCCTTTTTTGTTTGGTTCAGTTTAAAATAGGGTGTGGAGTCATTATCAAATTAAAATCAAACTACTTTTCACTTTGTTCCGGGGTTTAGTTTTTTATTTTCTGTAAATACCCTAAGCTTTGTTGGGTTTTTTTCATTCATCTTCGGTTCATGTAGATACAGTTTAGAAAAAATATTACCCAACTTAGACCGAATTGCGTATGGTTCAGCTTCAGTTCGGATTAGTTTGGTTACGCCAAGCCGAACCAAAATGCCCACCATACGTATATAATCCACATCCAAGCAGGATATATTTAAGAAGCAAGTACAAGACTAACCCTCTAGAGGTTTTCTCATGAGTCCACCAATGACCAGTATTGAAGATAATGATATCTGCATCATTATACATTGAAGTCGTGGTGTCCATCAAGTCCAACCTAAGTGTCTCAAAAGAACCAGCCGCCCCTTCAAAAGAAGATTCTCTTACAAGAAATGGAGAGCTAACGAAGTCCACAGAACAGTTAAAATCCTGCAGCAGATTGATCATATGCACACCATTATTAAACATTGTCTAATCGCTTCTAGTTTGATGTACTACAACAGTTATATGTGTAACTGTTATACAAGTAGGTGAGTAGGTCAATTGATTACCTCAAATCTGAATGCATAAACCCCCTTCTTTTTGAAATCACTCCTGCCCGATATCTCAAAAACTCTCTTCTTGTCACTAATACCTTGGCGAAGAATGCATACAAGAGATTCCCACATATTTCTGTTTAACGAATCACCCACAAATACAAGTTTCTGACCCCTCATCCTCTCCAAAAAATCTGTCGCATTGAAGCTGAATAGATCCACAGAAAAATTATTAAACTACATACATCATTTTGTTCATAACCCTGGATAAATGTTCTAATATATGTTAGTACTAGTAACAAACAACATTAAGAGATTAGTCCCTGGAATAAGGAGAACATACATAACAACTAGGGGGCAGCCCGAGTCTAGTTTTTCAGGTAGTAGAACTAGCGAGTTCAATTCTTGTTGGATCTGCCAATTGGTCTTCTTAGTTTGAGTCTGTCGAGCGTGGATTAATCTCAAATGGGTGGGAACATTTACAACAATGGGTGAAATACAAACACAAAGGGTTGTCTAATAAGGCGGGAAAAAGTGTTATAGGAAGGGCATCCTAATCTAGAAGGCTAACATTTTGAAATTCTACTCTATATAGTATGAAGTATATAAAATCTCACTTTTTAACATGAAATCCTACTTTAGTGTCTTGTTTTGAAAAATATATGGCCATCATATGATAATGTTTGAAACATATTTGTGTACGAAAAATGTGCAAACCTATTACACGCTAAGGCCTAATTTCTAATTTTTTATTATCAGCAAAATGCCTCCAAAAAGTTGAAGACGGCCTTATATACATACAACATGGTTCCAAATGCATGGTCAATATTAAGGGCATCAAATAAATACTTCTCATATGGTATTGATGTACTTCTCATAAACCCCAAGTCTAAAGCAGACAACAAACTCATTTATGATTGAGAAACAAAAACGTCAAAATAAGATTAAGACAAGGAGATTTCTATGGTACCTCTTCAAATTTGGAGTGTAACATACATTTGCTTTTCTCACCCAATAGGATTCCAAGTCAATTCATTAATGGCACTTATTCATGTCCCACTATTTCCATGTGTCACTATTTCATTTGCCCACACAATAAGATGCACCATACCTTCCAAATTTTCAAAGGCACCGTAGCATGACCCTTAAGACAATTCTAAAGGCTAATTTCATTAACCCTAAAAATGCAATGGAACAGTGAAATGCATCAGCCCAGTTCTAAACAAACTGTCAATAAATTTTTACCTTGGGATGTCACATGCATATGGTTGCCATTTCCATTTGACATACCCTTCATCTGGCCTCTTATTGAGATGACAGTCAAAATCCACATCAATATAAGGGCAAGAACCAGGAAGGTAATATGGCTTTGTATCATCTCTTACCCATTCACCATCAAAGATATCACAATCACCATGAAAACTCCTTCCTTTTATCAAAACTGGACCTTTGCTCTGATTACCATTTTTTCCTTCAAGTGATGAAAAACTGACATTTTTACCGTTCCCAGAAAACCCTCCGACACTACTCTTCTCCAGTTTGGTAAAGTTCACATTTTTACCAATCTCTGACGGATTTAACTCACGGGTTTTCTTCCATAGCCCTTCTTTCTTCTTACCGGAGAAATCCCGGAGATTTTCCCCGGCGGCGTTGTTGTTAAGCCCCTGAAGCACAGAATTCATAAACGGAGCTTTGAATGAGAAGTTGAGAAGAGCAACTCCAAGCATGAAGAATGTAGCCAGAGCCCACAGCCAACAGCAACCGGTAGACTTCCTTCTCGGCGATAACTGGCCGGGAAACTGACCGGAGAACGCATGTTTCTTGAATTCCATACCTTTACGCAGTAAAAAAATGCGGGTAAATCCAAATAAAACGTCGGCAATATGTTGTACTTTACTGTCGGGGAAGAGTTCGTCGGTGTAAATAATGGTGTCTGAGTTTTTACAGGGATACGAGATTTTCTGTCGGAGATTACAAGGGATAAATGTTACTCCCTGCCTTATAAAGTTCTAGTCCACTGTTCTGGCCAATTTAAATTATTTTTAATTTTTTTCTTTATAAATCAAACTATTATCAAATTTGCATTTTTATCAATTTTTTTAGCTCTTTTAATGTAGTTTCTGAATATGTTAATTTTATTTACTAAAAATAATCAAAATGTAAATAGAATTAAATTACATTATCGTCAGTGAAACATCTTAAACCTTTCACGACAACTGGGAGAAAGTATTATGGACGTTGAGGGCGGTGGTGTTTTGAAAAAAAGCAATTTGAAAACGGGTTAATTTAAACAAAAAAATGGTTTAATTTAGAAAAGGTTTCACGTTCAAACGGTGACAGAGATTCGAATTCAAAAAGAAGTACTACGTAAGACACAAGAAAAGAGACAGTTGAATGATGGCAACCCATTAAATTCTTAGTTAAATATGCTGTTGAGGAAGTAGAGATTTCTGAAATTTAACACATTTTAACGAATATAGGTATGCATTGGTGTTTTTAATGTTGTTCAATTGATAGGCACAGATTTACTAAAACAATTTTGCTTGGTGTACACCTTTTGTGTACACTCGTCTGTCTCCAGCAGATTAGTATAGTCAAATAATTTGGTAAATAATTTGCCGGCATAGTATGTACTCTACCCTCAAAACTTTGACAAATTTTATTGACACGAGAAATAATAAAGTAAAAAAACTGTGGGGTTAAGATTTATGCAAAGTAGAAATAAATAACAAGATTCGCAAAATAATTAACTAAAAGGGAAAGTGAGAAAGTTTTGTGGAACGTCCAAAAATGAAAGATTGCAAAATTATAAGAAAGGATGGAGTAGTATTTATTATACATTCTTACATATTTCTCTTTTCTCCACGTTATTATCTACTCCTTATTACACAATTCTCATTCAAAAGATGATTCAATAATGGAGAGAGCACAAATTACACATGATTATCCAAAAAAATGGCTTACATACGAGCATGTTATGGAACATAAATTCTCGTTTTTTACTTTTAAAGTATGCCATTTATCTTTATGCAAGGATTTATCCTCGCTCTTCACAAGTGGTACATGTTCCTGTGAAAGTGTGAAACAACAAAAATACTATTAGTACACACTTTTTGGGTACACGTTTTTACACACTATCTGTGAGAATTTGGGAAAAGGTACTTCAATAGGAGTCCTGGTCTGAATATATATAATAAAAGAGTTTTAAATAGATTATGAAAAAAATATGCCTAATAATATTCTATTACACCCCCTCAAACTGTGCGGGAGATACAACGTGCAGGTTGTTCTTCAAAAAATGAAATTGCTGACTAGAAAGACTTTTAGTAAAAATATCAGCTAACTGCAGTTGAGTAGGGATGTACTTCACGACCAGGTCTCCATGAGTCACACGTTCTCGAACAAAATGGTAATCAATCTGGATGTGCTTGCTACGAGCATGCTGGAAAGGATTGGCAGTCAAATATGATGCAGAGATGTTATCACAGAATAGCTGAACTGGAACGGTCACCGGAAATCCAAGCTCAAACAGAACCGAACGAATATGCAATGTATCCTGGACAGTATAAGCAGCAGCTCTATACTCAGCTTCTGTAGAGGACTTAGACATGGTAGCCTGCTTCTTGGACTTCCATGAGACCAGATTAGGGCCCAAGAAAACTGCAAAACCAGTCGTAGAACGGGACGTGTCTGGGCAACCTGCCCAATCTGCGTCTGAATAAGCAATCACACAGGAAGCCTGAGTGGTCGGCTGAAGCCATAATCCATGGTCAAGTGTTCCCTGCAAGTATCTAAAAATGCGCTTGACCGCAAACAAATGAGTAGTACGAAGGGCATGCATAAACTGAGATACTAAATGTACAACAAATGTAATATCAGGTCGTGTCAAAGTTAAATACTGTAACGCACCAACCATACTACGATACTCAGTGGCATCTGCAAGAAACTCCCCATCAATGAGGGATAAAGAGGTGCGAGTAGCAATCGGAGTACGAACAGATTTAATGGTGTGGAGATGAAAACGAGAAAGAAGATCAGAAACATATTTATGCTGAGAAAGAAATAATCCTTTTGTGGAACGAACAACCTGGACACCTAGAAAGTAGCTAAGATCACCAAGATCTTTCATAGCAAAGTGCTTAGCAACAAGCTGAATAAAGGAATTAACAGCAGTGGAAGAATTGTCAGTAATAATTATGTCATCTACATATAATAATAAATAAATAACATTATTATTCTGGCGATAAATAAATAATGAATTATCAGACTTGCTGCAATCAAAGTGATGAGTCAAAAGAAAGCTACTAAATCGGTGAAACCACGTTCGTGGGGCTTGTTTAAGACCATAAATTGCTTTTCGCAATCTACATAAATGATTAGGAAACAAAGGATGAATGAAACCCCGCCGCTGACGCATATATACTTCCTCGGTGAGGTGACCATGCAGAAAAGCATTTTTGACATCCAACTGACGAATAACCCACCCAAAAGAAATAGTTAGTGTAAGAACAATACGAACAGTGGTGGGTTTAATAACTGGACTAAAAGTTTCAGAGAAATCTACACATGCGTGCTGATTAAACCCTTGAGCTACCAAACGAGCTTTATGGCGCTCAATGGAACCATCTGAATTATATTTTGTCTTAAAAATCCACTTAGAGCCCATGACATTTTTAGTGTTATCAAATGGCACCAGATCCCAAGTATTATTAGAAATAAGAGTATTAAATTCCTCAGCCATTGCCTCACGCCATTTTAACTGTTTATTAGCCTCTGAAAAACAAGTAGGATCAGCTGATAAAGCAACAGTGTTAAATTAAAAATTGTTTTTGGTTTAAAAATGCCCGACTTCGCTCTGGTCTGCATGGGGTGAGTATTAGTTAAGGGGCCGGAGCTAGGTTGCGGTGGAGTGGAAGAGTCGGGGAGGGCAGAGGCGGCTGGTTCGGGAAGGACAGTGTCGGAGGGTTCAGTTGGCACGGGAACGGGTGCGGACGGGGTGGGAAAATGGTCAGTCGGAGACGAAGGAGGTACGGGCTCGGAGATGGGTGACGGAGGTAGAGAGGATTGACTGGGGACTGGTGGTGGGGAACCTACGGCTAAGGGGGTATGTGGTTCGGGAATGGCAGAAACAGGGATAGTATTGTCGGAGCTATGAGGAAAGGAGGTGGTGTTTGTGAGAGTAAAATCAGTGATGAGAGGACGATTTTCAGAGGTAGGAGAACCTCTAGAGGAAGACAATGTGGCATAAGGAAAAATATTTTCATGAAAGCGAACATGCCGACTGATATAAACTTTACCAGACTTGGGATCGAAACAATGGTATCCTTTAAAACCAGATGCATAGCCAAGAAAAACACATTGTATAGAACGGGGAGAAAGTTTATTTGAAGAAGAGGCCGAAAAAATTGGATAACAAGCGCACCCAAAAACACGTGGTAAACTATAGTTAGGAGGTTTTTGAAAAAGAATATCATATGGAGAAACACCAAACAGATTAGGAGTAGGGAGCCTGTTAATAATATATGTAGCTGTAAAAATAGCATCTACCCAAAAGTTGCTAGGAATAGAGGCTGTGAGAAGCATAGTCCTAGCAAATTCTAAAATATGACGATGTTTGCGTTCAGCAACACCATTTTGTTGAGGAGTATGAGGACATGATTTTTGAAAGTAAATGCCATTTTTAGAGAAAAAAATTTGCATATGAGAATTAACAAATTAAACTCACCCCCTCCATCACTTTGAAAATTTTTAATTTTAGAATTAAATAAATTTTCAACTAAAAGTTTAAAAAGACGGAACTAGTGAAAAACTTCATTTTTGGTGCGTCGGAGAGGAGACAGTGCCAGAAAATTGGGGAATTGACACCACCGAAGAGGAGACTGCCGAAGGGGGAACTGTAGACGCAGAGACGGTGGTGCTGTGTGCCTGGTGCAGGGATTCCGTCGTGGAGGAAGTCACCGCTGTGACAGTAGACACGGTGGCGTCGGTGGTGGCCATTGTTGGCCGCTGCGGAAAAGAGGGAAAGAGAGCATCCGAAGAAAAATTTTTAGCCCTAGGGCTCTGATACCATGTGAGAATTTGGGAAAAGGTACTCCAATAGGAGTCCTGGTCTGAATATATATAATAAAAGAGTTTTAAACAGATTAGGAAACAAATATGCCTAATAATATTCTATTACTATCTGTACAGGTATTTTTTTGTCTGTACAGACAAAATGTGTTTTGACGAAAACACGTTTTGTCTGTCCAAACCAACAAAATGTCAGCACAGATAATGTGTAAAAGTGAGTACCCAAAAAAGTGTGTACTCAAGTCCAACTCGTGAAACAAATACGGGATGGGGTACTCCCATATTATTTAAATTAATTTGAAAATTTTTACATGTTTTTTTCATATTCCTTTTTCTTCTTTTTCTTGAACTCTTCTCCTGTTTTTCCTACTTTTTTCTTCACTTCCCAACAAGTCTATTTCGCTCAATCTGATTTTTCTAGAATAATCACTATAAGCATGTTTTTTTTGTAAAATATCTAATTTGCACAAGAGACGAACTAGTATAACTTGTCAATTAAATCATAAGGAGGATGTTTTATGCAAATAATATGGAGAAAATGGAAACTAATAATTCAACTTTTTAGCGGTCTTCTTACAATTGTCTCACTTTATCGTACTTCAGGAATAACCCAACCTTTACACATCATCTTTAGACGTTGGTCTCTGACCGATTGATGACCTGCTATTCTGGGTTTTTTCATTTTCTTTGCAAATCATTCAACCATAAATCTCACCTTCTATAAATCTTCTCAAAACGGTCCCACATTGGATTTTTATTATTTCTTTCCTTTTTGTGTAGTACTATTCGTTGTAGTCTATTTTTATAATTTTTTCCTGGCTATTTGTTTATATTTTTTCTTTGAATTTTTAGAAAAGAGAAAAATATAGGGGAAATTCCTCAAAGAGTATTTAATAAAACTTTAATTACAAGAATATGAGTATCAT